AAGATTTACCAAGCTAATTGCCCCCCAAAACAGAAGTAACAATACTTACATCAGACAAAGTCGACTTCAAATTTACATTGGTCAAATGAGACAAAGAAGGACACTCCATACTAATAAAAGGGGCAATACATCAAAGGGAAATAACAATTATCAACCTATATGCACCCAATATCAATTCACTCAATTTCATTTAACATGCACTAAAAGACTGAAAAGCAAATATAGACTCCAATACAGTGGTGGTGGGAGGCTTTAATATCCCTCTATCACCAATATGTAGGCCACCCAGTCAAAAAAAAATCAATAAAGAAATCCTAGACCTAAATGACGCCATAGATCAAATGGACTTAACTGATGTCTACAGGATATTTCATCCAACAACAGCACAATAAACATTCTTAGCAGCTCATGGAACTTTCTCCAAAATAGATCATTTTTGTGGTCAGAAAGAAAGCCTCAACAAATATAAGAAAATAGAAATAACCCCCTGCATTTTCTGATCATAATGTAATAAAACTAGAACACAACAACAAAAGCAACAGCAGAAAATATGCAAACAACTGGATCCTGAATAACAAATTGCCTAGTGTTGATTAATGGGTCATAGAAGAAATAAGAGAGGAAATCCAAAGTTTCCTGGAATTTAATGAAAATGAAAACAAAACCTATGGGACACAAAAAAATCAATCCTAAGAGGAAAGTTTATAACCATGAGTGCATGTATTAAAAGGACAGAAAGATCTCAAATAAATGACCTAATGTTATGTCTTAAACTCCAAGAAAACAAGAACAAGCAGAACTCAAAACAAGCAGAAGGAGAGAAATAATAAAAAGGGCTGAAATTAGTGAAATAGAGACCAAAACATCCATACAAAGAATCAAGACAAGAAAAAGCTGCTTCTTTGAAAAAGTAAATATGATTGACAAGCCCCTGGCAATTCTAACTAAAATAAGGAGGGAAAAGACCCAAATTAAGTAAAATCAGAAATGAAAAAGGGGAGATAACAGCAAATACCAAGGAAACCCAGGGAATCATCAGAGACTATTTGAGAACCTACATTTCAATCAATTGGAAAATCTTGACAAAAATGGACAAATTTCTAGATATTTATGACCATCCAAAACTGAACCAAGAGGGTATTAACCACCTAAATTGATCTATAACATGAAATTAAATTGAAGCAGCAATATAGAGTCTCCCAAAAAAGAAAAATCTAGGACCTGATGGATTTTCTGTTGAATTCTGCAAGACCTTTAAAAAGAACTAATACCAACACTCCTTAAACTTTTCCATGAAATAGAAAGGGAAGGAACAATGCCTAATTTAAAGGACACATCCAAAAAGGAGAGTTACAGGCTAATCTCCTTAATGAACGTTGATGCAAAAATACTCAATATGATAATGGCAAACCAAATCCAACAACACATCAGAAAGATCATTCACCATGACCAAGTCAGCTTCATCCCAAGGATGCAGGGATTGTTCAACATATGCAAATTAATAAATGTAATACAGCACAGTAAGAGAAGCAAAGACAAAACCACTTGATCATCTCAATAGATGCAGAAAAGCTTTTGATAAGATTCAACACCATTTCATGATAAAAGCTCTAAGAAAACTAGAAATAAAAGGAATGTACCTCAACACTGTAAAGGCTATATATGACAAACCTACAGCCAACATCATGTGTAATGGGACAAATTGAAAACATTTTCCCCAGAGTCAAGAATGAGACAAAGGTGCCCACTATCCCCACTCCTATTCAACACAGTCCTGGAATTCCTAGCCAGAGCAGTTAGACAAGAAGAAGAAATAAAAGGAATACAAATAGATAAAGAAATAGTCAAACTATCCCTGTTCACAGATGACATGATCTTATACCTTAAAGTCCCAAAAAATTCCACCCCCAAAACTCCCAGACATGATAAACAGCTTCAGCAATGTAGCAGGATACAAAATCAACTTACGAAAATTGGTAACATTTCTATACACTAACAATGAGCAGATTGAGAAAGAATATAGGAAAACAATTCCATTTACAACAGCCTCAAAACTAGAAGTAAACTTAACAAAGGATGTAAATGACCTCTACAAGGAGAACTTCAAACCACTGAAGAAAGAGATTGAAGAAGACTACAGAAAGTGGAAAGATCTCCTGTGCTTATGGATTGGCAGAATTAGCATAACAAAATGACTATACTACCAAAGGCAGTCTATATGTTCAATGCAATTCCCATCAAAATCTCAATGACATTCATCACAGAGATTGAAAAATCTACCCTATAACACACATGCACAGGAAATTAATATGAGTCAACTCCCTGTATAGCTATCCTTATCTCAACTAGCAAAAACCCTTGTTCCTTCCTATTATTGCTTATACTCTCTCTTCAACAAAATTAGAGATAAGGGCAAAATAGTTTCTGCCAGGTATTGAAGGGGTGGGGGTGAGAGGGAGAGGGTGGGGTGGGTGGTAAGGGGGAGTGGGGGAGGGGGGAGAAATGACCCAAACATTGTATGCACATATGAATAAAAAAAAAATTAAAAAAAAAAGAAAAATCTACCTTAAAGTTCATTTGGAAACACAAAACACTGCGAATAGCAAAGGCAATACTGAGCAAAAAAAAGTAACTTCAAACTATACTACACAAAACCCAACTTCAAACTATACTATAGAGCAATATATACTATACTATATAGCAATAAAACTATATACTATATACTAAATAGCAATAAAAACAGAATGGTACTGGCACAAAAATGGAGATGAAGACCAGTGGAACAGAATAGAGGACCCAGATGTGAATCCATGCTGCTATACTCATCTTATTTTTGACAAAGTTGCAAAAACATACAATGGAGAAAATACAGCTTCTTCAACAAATGTTGCTGGGAATAGTGGTTATCTGCCTGCAGAAAAGTGAAACTAGATCCATGCCTGTGATCCTGTACTAGTATCAACTCAAAGTGGATTAAGGACCTTAATATCAGACCTGAAATCTTGAGGATAGTGCAGGAAAGAACAGGGTATATCCTGGAAACAATCGGTATAGGCAAGGACTTCCTCAGTAGAACATAAGTGGCCCAACAAGTAAGAGAAAAGAATGACAAATGGGAATACATGAAATTAAAAAGAAATGGTCTCTAAATTGAAGAGACCACCCACAGAATAGGAGAAAAATCTTTGCTAGCTATCCATCAGACAAGGGACTGATTACCAGAATATACAGGGAGCTCAAAAAACTAAATTCCCCCCAAATCAATGAACCAATAAAGAAGTGGTCAACTGAACTAAACAGAACTTTTTCAAAAGAAGAAGTCCAAATGGCCAAAAAACACAAGAAAAATGTTCACCATCCATGGCCATAAAGGAAATGCAAATCAAAAACACACTAGGATTCCACCTCACCCCTGTTAGAATTGCTACTATCAAGAACAAAAACAACAAATGTTGGTGAGGCTGCAGGGAAAAAGGCACCCTCATACATTGCTGTTGGGAATGTAAGCTAGTACAATCACTATGGAAAACAATATGTAGGCTTCTTAAAAAACTAAACATAGGTCTGCCATATGATCCAGCAATACCACTCCTAGGGATATACCTAAAGGAATGTGACTCAGGCTATTAAAAAGACACCTGCACACCCATGTTTACTGCAACATTATTCATAACAGCCAAGCTATGGAAACAGTCAAGATGCCCCACTACCAATGAATGGATTAAGAAAATGTGGTATTTATACACAATGGAATTTCACTCAGCCACAAAGAAGAATGAATTTTGTCATTTGCAAGTAAATGGATGGAACTGGAGAACATCATCTTAAGCAAAGTTAGTCAGGCTCAGAAAGCCAAAAATTGCATGTTCTCCCTCATATGTGGAGGGACCTAAAGCAAATGTAGTAATATTATTGGACATGGGTCTCACCTTAAAGGGAGACTGCACACAGGAGGAATAGGGAAAGGGAAGAAAACCAAAAACTTGAATTTGGTTGATGTGCTCACTATAGACGTGAATATAGTAATCTTAAACTGGCAGAGGCCACTATGGTTAAGGGATTAGGAAGTAGTGAAGAGGTCTGGTAGAGACAAACCAATGTGGGTTGTAATACACATATGCATGGAAACAGCACTTGTAATCTCTCTGTATAGCTATCTTTATCTCAAACTAGCAAAAACACTATGCTTTTTTTTTTTTAATCTCTTATGCTTTCTCTTCAACAAAGTTGGAGAACAAGAGGCTAGAACAGGTTCTGCCCAGAAGCAGGGTGGGGAGGTGGCCCAAATAATGTACATAGATGTAAGTAAATGTAAAAATAATTAAAAAAATAAAATATTCTACATAAGGAATATATGGTATTTGCTGACTTTGCCAAGGCTGCTCCTGCTCCTTGGATGAACCTGTGGTTCAGGCCTGGCCAATGAGATTTCTCCAACCCCCTGGCCATGGTGATTGCTTCGAGGATAGACTTAGACACAAACTGGACAGGGAGTCAGCCAGCTTTATTATAGCTATTGAGAGATAAATGTTCCCCTTGTGCTGTGCTTACTAGATTTAAGAATAATGAAAATTTAGAATTCTTGAGAATCATCTTAGAAAATGAGGCCAACACAGAAGTTGGCAAAGCTAAGAAGAAAAAAAGAGACCACTTCCAGATGACAGCGTTTAATTCTTGGATCTATTTGTTTTGAATTATATATAGTCTTTCACTTCTGACCAAAAGGGATATGAGTAGGACAACACATTATTATGATGACAAAGAACTTAAAATTTTAAAAATAAAGTGTTATTTTACTTTTCCTTTAAAATTAAGAGCAGATTTCATGTATTTTGATAAATAATTTTTTAATGGTGAAAATAGTTTTCTCTAAAGGTAGATTAAATTATTAAAAACAAAGCTCTGGAGTTCATCAAAAGTTTCTTCTGTTTAAACTTTAGGATAATGGAGCTTTTCCTGTCTTTTATTTTATTGCTATGAGAAATTTATAGAGTACTCACTCTATAATTTTGTGTTTAGACTGTACAGAGAAATCACAGTAATCCACTCCAATGTCTGTGAAGTCCACAAAGGTGGAAGACAAAATCTGGAATGCCCGAGGATTTATTTCCTTGAGTTTTCGACACACATTAAACCCGTCTACAATTTCTGAGTCACCTCCTGTGACTGTTTGCTTTATGCAGTGCAGAAGCTGAACCTGTAAGAACAAATGGAAAAACTGATTTGAAATAATATCACTTTTTAGTACTGTGTTAAAGCTTAAAAAAAAAATGAGTCCAAATTAACAAACCCCTTTTAAAAATAATCTGTTCCTTGCATCAGCAGAGAAAGGACTGAAGATTATAAAGATGCTTTCTCATTAATACTGTAAGAGTCAAACCTCTTACTGTTTTTTTTTAAATTTTTTTGTTTATTAGCATTTGTTAGTTGCACAGTGGAATTCATTGTGACATTTACTTACATGTTTACAGTATATCTTAATTAGGTTGGCCCTCTCAATTGTTCTCCCTCATCTTCCCACTCCCCTTCTTAGATCAATTTCAACAGGTTTAATTGTTCTATTTTCATATATGAATACAAAATAATGCTATATCCACTCTATTTCACCCTTTCCATTTACCCTCCTCCCTCTCACTGGTACTCATCCTTAGACAGGATTATCTTAATGTCCTCGAATTTTTTAAAGTATATATTAATAATTCAAGGAGGGGTTTATCATGGTATTTGACACATGTATATATCATACTTTAATAGAATTAACTCCCCATTACTTTTTCTCATTGCCCTGTTCCCCTATTATTTAATAGCTCTCAGCATATTCCATTATACTATCTTCCTACTTAGATGAAATGTATTTCTGTGTTTCTCACTCTCTATCATTCTCCTTTTCTCTCCTGCCTCCTTATAGTTCCTTCAGACAGACCCACTGTTACAATCATATTCTTGTTCTGTATATATATGTGTAAGCATGTAGGATCATATATGCATTTATGTATACATTTATCTTATAGGTCTAGCTTCCATGTGAGGGAAAACATGAGACCTCTGTCCTTCTGAGCTTGACTTACTTTGCTTAACATGATGTTCTCCAGTTTCATTAATATGCCTGCAAACAACATAATGTTATTCTTCTTTATGGTAGAATAATACTCCATTGTGTACATGTACCACATTTTCTTAATTCATTAGTTGTCAGACATCTGGGCTGGGCTTCAGTGCACTATTGTGAATAGTGCTGCAATCAATCAATATGGGTGGGAAAGTAGTTCTATCCTATCTTGGCTTACATTCCTTCAGATATGTGCCCGGGAGTAGTAGTATTGCTAGATCATATGTTAGGTCTACTTTTAGTTTTTTTTAAAATTTTTATTTTATTCATATGTGCATACAATGTTTGGGTCATTTCTTCCCCCTTTCCCCCACCCCCTCCCTTATCCCCCTTACGCCTTTCTACCCGACAGAAGCTATTTTGCCTTTATCTCTAATTTTGTTGAAGAGAGAGTATAAGCAATAATAGGAAGGAACAAGGGTTTTTGCTGGTTGAGATAAGGATAGCTATACAGGGAGTTGACTCACGTTGATTTCCTGTGCATGTGTGTTACCTTCTAAGTTTTTTGAGAAGTCTCCATAGTGCTGTCCACAGTGGGTGCACTAATTTACATTCTCAACAACAGTGTAGAAGTGTTCCTTTTTCCTCTACATCCTTGTCAACATTTGTTGTTTGTGTTATTGATGATTGACATTCTGACTAGAATGAGGTAAACTCTTAATATTGTTTTGATTTGCATTTCCTTTATGGCCAGGGATGTAGAACATTTTTTGGACTTTTGGTTTTTTTTTTTTTTTTTTTTTGGTAGTACTGGTATTTGAACTCAGGGCCTCACACTTGCTAGGCAGGTGCTTTACCACATGAGGCACCCACCAGCCCAAGAACATTTTTTCATGTATTTATTGGCCACTTGTATTTCTTCTTTGAGAATTGTCTTTTCAGTTCATTTTTCCATTTATTCAATCCAAACCTCTTACTACTGAAGGCATGGATATAGCACTATAATGTTCACTAGTAAAGAAAAAGCACAAATCAGAAGAGCTATAGAGAATGAGCAATTCATGGGACAGTGTTCAGGGAAGCCAACAGAGGAGGTGGGGTTTAAGCTGGGTGAAGATTTAGAAAAAATAGAATAGAATGAGAGCACCAATAGGTGATAGTGCTGATAGGTCAGCAAAATGCATAATTCAATGAGTAACAAAAAGATTGGCTGCAACAGAGGGTCATAAATGTGAGGAGTAGATTAACTTGGAAGTGTCATTGGGGCTTCATCATGGAGTCTTAAGTTGTTGGATTTTTGTGGTTTCTGTTGTGAATAGAGGGGAATCACTGAATGTGAAGTAACATAGTCAGGCTGAGTTGGAAAGTGTTAGTCTGGTGATATGACATAAGATGAACTAGGGGGAACAAGTCAGACAGCAGTTATGTGAAAGTCTAAGAAGATAGTCCAGATATAAGGGTAAGAAGGGAATGAGGTTGGGTGGGACTATGAGGCATTTGCCAAATTTTTTGGAAAATGTGATTTTGTTTTGAAAAGAAAAACATAGTATGAATGAAAATCCTTTTGATGGGAGTGTTTCACTGGTTTTGTGACTCCTTTTGGTAAGTCAGTATGGGTGAGTGATTCTGAGTATCTAACTTTAGATTATGAGTTTCTGTTGGAAGAAACTAATAGCATTCAGGTGTGGAATCTTCATTTTTATTGAATGAAATAAATTAAAAAAAACCCATTTCCTGACTGAGTTCTTGTAGAATGAAAATGGCAGACATGATCAAATGCCCTAACTTCAGTTCTATCAATATTAGTGGGAGAAATATCCATTTAGCTTGATTTGCTCCATAGATGGTCTAGAAGAGTGCTGACCATCAGAACTTTCTGCAGTAATGGAAATGGTCTTCTTTGTCTAGTGCAGAAATCACTAACTGTACATGGCTGCTGTACACTTGAAATGTAGTTTGTGCACTTGAAATATAGCTAGTGGGACTAAGAAATTGAATTTTAAATTGTATTTAATTTTGATTTAAATTAAAATTTATTTATTTTGGGGGGGTTTCCTACATTTCCCTATTCCTCATGTATGTGTTCACCCTTAGCATGAGACCCATGTCCAATAATATTACTGCACTTATTTTAGGTCTAAAGTCCGCATATGAGGGAGAACACACAATTTTTGGTCTTCTGAGCCTGGCTAACTTTGGTTAAGATGATGTTCTCCAGTTCCCTCTATTTACTTGCAAATGACAAGATTTCATTCTTCTTCATGGTTGAGTAAAACTCCATTGTGTATAAATACCACATTTTCTTAATCCATTCGTCAGTAGTGGGGCATCTTGGCTGTTTCCATAACTTGATTATTGTGAATAGCACTGCAATAAACATGAGTGTGCAGGTGCCTATGGAGTAACCTCAGTTGCATTCCTTTGGGTATATTCCTAGGAGTGGGATTGCTGGATCATATGGCAGATCTACGTTTAATTTTTTAAGAAGCTTCATATTGTTTTCCAGAGTGGTTGCACTAGCTTGCATTCCCATCAGCAGTGTATGAGGGATCCTTTTTCCCCACATCTTTACCAACATTTGTTGTTGGTGGTGTATTTGATGATGGCTATTCTAACAAGGATGAGGTGGAATCTTAGTGTGGTTTTGATTTGCATTTCCTTTATGGCCAGAGATGGTGAGCATTTTTTCATATATTTTTTGGCCATTTGGATTTCTTCTTTTGAGAAAGTTCTGTTTAGTTCAGTTGCCCATTTCTTAATTGGTTCATTGATTTTGGGGGGGTTTAGTTGTTTGAGCTCCCTGTATATTCTGGTTATCAATCTTTTGTCTGATGTATAGCTAGCAAATATTTTCTCCCACTGTGTGGGTGGTCTCTTCAGTTTAGAGACCATTTCTTTTGTTGTGCAGAAGCTCCTTAATTTCATGTAGTTCCATTTTTAAATTAAAATTTAAATAGTCACTTGTGATAAATGGCTGTCCTATTGGATAGTATCAATAAATCTGCCCTTCCCAATGAGGGAGAACACACAATTTTTGGTCTTCTGAGCCTTGCTAACTTTGGTTAAGATGATTTTCTCCAGTTCCATCTATTTACTTGCAAATGATGTTTCCCAATTTTATAATTTATTACATAACTTATTCTCAAATTATAATTGTGTCATGCAGTTTGCAGATGGATAGAAGGAGATATAGAGGTGTGAGAACTCCCTAATTAGATAATATATGATAATGCGATATTTAAACTTTGGTGCATTTGCCCCAAAATCTACATGCCCCAAGTCTTTTTCCTAGATAGGGAGAAGTTCCTTTCTAGCACTTGTAGTAATTCAGTTTTGTGTGGCATGTACAAATGTGTTTTGTGAATTTTGAGAGAATGTCTGACCTTAATTTCACATGTTGGAAATAACTGGTCTAAACTAACAATGGTTCAATCCTTACTTAAACTGAAACCACTTTAAAGCTTGAAATGTATGTGCAAAAGTTGATCAAATCACTTTAGAAAATCATCTTAGAGGGCCAACAAGAGATAAAGCAACAAGATGACAAAGAAGGGAAAATAAAATAGACACCTTAAGCCTACTAGCCTCCAGAAGGCAGAACAACAGCATAACTTTGTCTTTAGGAGAATCAGAGGGTTCTTTAGATTCACAGAATATTTCAAATGATAGCTTTTCAAAAAGGTCAGCTTGATGTCTTTTACATAAGGCAAGGTCAAGTAATATTTTCCTTCATGTACCTATACTCTTAATACAATGTTATAAAAGCAAAATGATGATGGAGTCTGACAACCCTTTCACCACTATTTAGAAGGTAAATATTTGCCTGTAACATATAAAACTCAATTTTCTTTCATGTAAGTTATTTAGAATAAAGAAAAATTTCTTTTAAAATATTTCTTATGGTAGTGTGTGACTTTTGGCCTAGAGAAAGTTGGTGAGCAAAGCTACATCTGTGACTCCTTACCTCTGCCCTCTATGATCCAAATTGATGAAACTGGGCTCTCAGTAGGTAGGTGACTCATTATCTATATCATTCCATATAGACTGAAAATTACATTGACTGTTCATGTTTGTTATAGCAAGCTCAAACTTTGGTACAAAAACCCCTGAATAATTCAAAAGGGAAGACCTGGTACTTGTACTTATTCTTTTATTAGAATCAAAACATTTTGGAAATCTTTTATTTAAAAATCTATCAAGTCATTTAGCTGTGAAAATTTCATTTACTGATGGATACAGGTGCAATGATGTTGTACTTCACTTCTTTAAAATATACTGGTTATGAGTCTATTATTTACTAGGTGCTGAATTTAATTTTGGGCTATAGAGGAGCACAAGATTCAGTTCCCATCTTTGACAAGTTTGTAAAGGGTGATAATGTCTATAAATAATCTATCTATTATTATTTAATATTATTAAGTTATTATAATCTATCTATTATTATTTAATAAATAATGAAATTAGCAATGCCAATTCAGGACCATTATGATGTCATGAAAAACTAGATGGAGGCCTGGACTCAAGTCCAAGTTTCCCATTAATCAGATGTTATCCAATAAAAGTTTTTAGCTTGATGCTTCATTTCCTCATTTAACAAAAAAAACATGGATTAATCATGTTTACCTTAAAGGAATGTTAAGAGAGATCATCTAAAGTAATTAAAATAAAAATGCTTTAGAAAAAGCATAAAATGCTATGAAAATGTTGAGCATTATAGTACACATTGGCAATATTTATGAAGTAATTTAATCACTTTTTCTTAGACTTTCAATTTTAACCTAGAAACAACAATTGAAGTTATCAAAGGCAGAAGATGCTTTAAAAATTCATATAGGATCTTTAGTTTCCTGGTCTCATTCTTCAAGTTTTACTCCACCCACCTCTCTAGCCAATCTTTGGCACATAAGCTGAGTTCATTAGTTTGGCTTTAAAAAAATTTTTTTTTATTTCTTTTATTTATGTGCATACAATGTTTGGGTCATTTCTCTGCCTTTTCCCCTGCCCCCTCCTTCCCCCCCCAACCCGCTCCCTCTCCCTCCCTACCCCTCACTTCCAGGCAGAAACTATTTTGCCCTTATCTCTAATTTTGTTGTAGAGAGAGTATAAGCAATAATAGGAAAGACCAAGGGTTTTTGCTAGTTGAGATAAGGATAGCTATACAGGGAGTTTACTCTCATTGCTTTCCTGTACATAGGTGTTGCATTCTAAATTAATTCTTCTCGAACTAATTTTTTCTCTAGTTCCTGGTCCCCTTCTCCTATTGGCCCCTGTCACTTTAAAGTTTCTGCATTAGTTCCTTTGCATTGAGGACATCAAATGTTATCTTTTTTTTGGGGAGGGGTAGTTCTTGCCTATCCTTAAACCTCCCTTGTGTGCTTTTGCCTCATCATGTGATCAAAGTCCAATCCCCTTGTGTTTGCCCTTGTTAAAAACTAAAACTAGTTTGGTTTTTAATGATAAGATTTTAGAAAAATCTCTGACCCACATTTAGAATATTACAGTGAGTGTATCTTTCTTCAACTCCCACCCAAAAAAGGTGACTTATGGGGGTCATTTTTCTGCCATTTGGATCAAAGAAATTATGTGGTATTTTACAATCAACAAAATAATTTAAAACATGTGAAGTCAAATACTAGACTAGCTTAGATAATACTGGCGAGAAACAGTGGGTAACCATGAAAACATGTTCAGTCAAGATGATGAAAAACTGGATTAATTTATTTTGGCTCATTTCTCCTCCATTAACCTGAGAATTTCCCAAATTTTCTTTACCTTTGAAGATACAGATTTCTGTGTATTTAGTTCATTTAGTTCAATTTAGCTCTGAAAATAGGTGCAAAATATCTTTTAAAAGATGGTCTCCTGACCACTTTTTTTTTTTTGGTTTAGTAAAGTGATGATTTTTGTAAAAATGTATTTGGTCTAGAAAATGAGAAGTTTGTAAAGATGGAGAAGAAGACTGTCCAGTAAGAAATTTTCCTTTGTTTTTCTTCCTAAAAATCTGTTTTTTCTCAAAGAAGATGGAACATCTCTAAGAAAGAATCTGATACATGTGATGAGAGATGGTTCCTAAATACAGCATCATTGTTCTGCTCCTTATATTCCCATCCTTGTGTAATGCATTTTTGCATCTTTTCCTGTGAGGTATTTACCACTACATCCCCTGAATCTGCACTATAGTCATGGCTAGCTTAGAGCAATAAACACTGCAGAAGAGGTATTGTGTTTATTATTAGTATGGGACCCAAGATGCTTTGCGTGCTTTGGGTTGTTCTCTGAAAATTCTGCCAGTTGCTATATGCATAAGAAGCTGGAAGATAGTAGACCAAGGGGAGCAGGGCAAGCTATCCCAGTCAACCAGTTCCTAACCAACTAGTGACTAACTGAGGTCATGTGACTGCAAACAAGACTGCTCAGCTGCACATAGCTCAAATACCGAAAGCATGGGCTAAGAACCTGGCTGTTTTTTCAAGCTATTATGTTAAGGAATTGATTTTTATGCTACAGTACCTGATACCAGTGGTGGCCATGTGACTCTGGGGGTAAACCCCACATAGTGCTCTCAGATTTCATTTTTTCTTTGAATTGTCTTAGGAGTGATACATGTGCAGAGAGACCTCAAGATGCCTTGCTGTCTTCCAATCTCTTTTGGCAGAGTAAAAGGTGCTAATAAGAACCAAAGAAATGTTTTTAAAAAGATGTATGCAAATGTCCTATTCCATAGGAATGTGAGGATATTCTGAAATTAAGAACAGAGATTTTGTGTTTAGATCATGTTTAGAGAAAGATTTATATTAAGACTAAATCAGTTGGCAAAACATGTGATCATCTAGTGTAAGAGGATGTTGGTTGTGGCCTGCCCTGTGGAAAGTGTGCTGGAGCTCAGCTTACCCCAGGTGGATGACGGAGGGCTGGGTAATCTGTGTGAAAGCTGAGCTTTCCAGTTGTGTAGGCCACATTGTTTGCATCGATTTTGTCTTGCACTTGCCAAGTATGTCTGTAAAATATAAGAAACACATGCTTAAAAAGGTTGCCACTAAGCCAGAGGAAATGTGTTAGAATAAATTTATTATGTAGGGGAAATGGAAACTTTTCATCTTATGAAATAATTAACATAATAACTTTGTGCCAGAAAGGGAGTCTGACTTTTTGTTGTCCAAAGTGACTGTTTCAGAATTAGTGACTCTTCATTTTTCCTCTCAACTTAAAAAAAAAAGTACATTTATGGGCTGACAAAGTAGCTCAAGTGATAGAGTACCTGCTTAGCAAGTGTGAAGCCTTGAGTTCAAACTCCAATACCAACCCCCACAAAAAGTCCATTTATAACAGTGCATTTCACAGAGTTTATAAAATAGTACGTGGGATAGTAGGTCATCCTTTTAAAAATCTTAATGCATCTTAAAAAATGATGTATTGAGGCCAAATTCATATAACGTAAAATGAACCATTTTAATTTCTTTTTCTGATACTGGGATTTGAACTCAGAGCTTCACTCTTGCTGGGCAAACACTCTACCATGTAAGCCATTCTATCAACAAATGAACCATTTTTAAAGTGAATATTTCAGTGGTACTTATTACATTCACAGTGGTTGTAACCACTACAGCAATTTCTTCCCATTCTGCTCTTCCCCAGGTTATCTACTTTCTGCCTCTATCATTTTATCTATTTTGAATATTTAATATGTATGGAATTAAGTAGTATGTGACATTTTGTGTCTACTTTCACTTAGCATAATATTTTTAAGATTCAATCACTCTGTTGTAGCAAACATCAGCACATCATTTCTTTCTTTTTTTTTTTTTTTTGCCCTTTTGAGACAGGGTTTTGCTATGTAATCCAGGTTGACCATGGACTCACAATCCTCCTGCCTCCATTACCCAATGCTGGAATTGCATGTGAGCACCATCATGGCTGGTTACATAGTATTTCTGTTTATGGCTAAATGACATTGTATTGTATTCTATTGTATGGATATATCACAATTTGTTTATTCATTCACTATTGGAGATTTGGGCTGTTTCTACTTTTTGCTTATTATGAACGGTGCTGGTTTTAACATGTGTACATGTACTTATTTGAGTACCTGCTTTTCAATTTTTAATATATTCAGAGGAGTAAAATTGCTAGGCCTTATCATTATTCTGTGTTTAACTGAGGAAATGCCAGACTATTTTCCACAGCAGCTATTCCATTTTACATCCCACAAAATGTGTAAGGGCTCTAATTCCTCCACATCATTACCTATGCTTGTTATTTTCTGTTTAAAAATATTGCTATTAGAGCCTATCTAATGGGTTTAAAATGTTACTGTGGTTTTGATTTATATTTTCCTAAAGTCTAATCACATTGAGTATCTTTTTATGATCTTGTTTGGCCAATTGTAGATCTTCTTTGGAGAATTTTCTACTCAAGTTCTTTGCCCATTTGTAAATTGAGTTGTCCTCTTGTTGAATTGTCAGAATTTTTTAGTATGTCCTGGATATTGGACGTATGATTTATTAATGTTTTCACCTATTCCGTTGGTGATTTTTTCTTTTTTTTTTGCTAGCTTTCTGGGATGCTCCAAAGTATTGAATTTTGATGATGTTCAGTTTATCGATTTATTGTTTCATTGCATTTGCTTTTGGTGTTATACCTCTAAATCTATTGCCCAGTCCAAGTTCAAGACATTTCTCCCAGTGATTCCTTCAAAGAGTTTTATGGCTTTACATCTTATTTTTAGACCACTGACCCATTGTGAATTAATTTTTATATGTTATAAGATAGAGGGTATAACTTCACTTAGTTTTTTATTAGCATAAATTAATTATACAAAGGGATTTCACTGTGATATTTGCAACATGTATATAATGTATTTTGATCAAATTCACCCCATCTATATTACTTTTTCTTAATCCTTCTCTGTCCTCCTCCCCATTTTTAACAGTTTTTGGTGGGGTTCATCATGCTATTTTTATACACATGTATGATGCATTTCTGTAATATTTATCACCCTGTCACCTGCTCCTCCCCTATCCACTGTGCCCTCCAAACCATCGGCCTTTTGCAATCATGTCAGATTTTCACTTTTTAAGTCTAGATTCTACATATAAGTGAAAACATGCAGTATTTATCTTTCTGGGTTTGGTTTACCTTGCCTAACATAATGCTCTCCAGTTCCATCTATTTTCCTGTAGATAACATAATTTCATTATTTTTTATGGCTGAATAATAATACTCCATTGTATGTATGTACCGCATTTTCTTTATCCAATCATCAGTTGTTGGACTCCTAGGTTGGTTCCATTGCTTGTCAATGGGAGTGCCAGTAGCTCTCTTGCATGTTGGTTTTCGTTGCTTTGGGTATATGCCCAAGAGTAGTGTAGTGAGATGATATGGCAGTTCTAATTTTAGTTTCTTGAGGAACCTCCGTCCTGATTTCCATGGTGGCTGCACTAATTTAGATTCATACCAACAATGTATAAGGATTCTTTTCCCCCTACATCCTCACCAGCATTTGTTGCCATTTGTTTTCTTGATGGTAGCCTTTCTGACTGTGGTAAGAAGGAATTTCAGTGTCATTTTAGTTTGCATTTCTTTTATGGCTAAAGATGTTGAACATTTGTTTATGTATTTATTAGTAATCTGTACTTCCTCTTTTGAGAACTGTCAAATTAGCTTGTCCATTTATTAATTTGATTATTTGCCCTTTTGGTGATTAATTTTTTGAGTTTTTTATATATTCTGGACATTGTCCAATGAATAGCTTGCAGATTTTCTCCCATTCTGTGGGTTGGCCCTTGATTCTGAAAACTGTTTTCTTTGATGTGCAGAAGCCTTTTAATTTCATGCAATCTCATGCATCAATTCTTGCTTTTATATCCTTAGCAGCTGGAGTCCTATTTAGAATGTATTTTCCTAATAAAATGATACAAACTCAGTGTCAGTAAATTAAATATAAGTGATACAATGTATGTCTAATGAGAATTTATGTTAAAGATGTATAGAATACAAATGACTCAAGCACCTGCTTTTTGCAGCCATGTTGAAAACCTTTTAGACAGCATTTGTTAATGCTGAATGTAACAATACCTGTTTACCCAGTGATTCTGGAATCACATAAACATGCAACAGGAGTCTGCTTTTGTTCGCCAAGACATAGGTGCAAAATGTTCATATAAGTAAGACTATCTGTGTTAGATGACTTGTGTTAAGTTTACGAATGGATATCTTTGAAAGATGTCTAGAAAGATGTTCATCAATATCTTGAAATCACATACAAGTGATTTTTAATGTATTAACTAAACAATCTTCACTAAGTTATTTAAATATTTGCAATAAATAGACTTTAATTATTAAAAAAAGTGTTGTCCCGTAGTAGTTTCAAACTTTCATTTAAGTTTTTTGATTGATTTTGAATTGATTTTTGTACAAGTGAGTGCTAGGGATCTAGTTTCTGTCTTCTATATGTGGATATCCAGTTTTCCCAACACCATTTGTTGAAGAGACTATATTTTCTCCAACATATGTTTTTAACTCTTTGTCAAAAATCAAATGGCTGTAGCTATGTGTTTATTTCTGGATCTTCAATTCTATTGTATTCTGTAGGTCTGTTTTTGTGTCAGTATCATATGTTTTTGGTTAGTATGGCTCTGAAATAATTAGAAGTCAGGTATTGTGATACCTCCAGCATTGCTGTTTTTAATTAGGATTGCTTTGGCTATTCGGAGTCTGTTGTGCTTTCATAAGAATTTTTGGATTGATTTTTCTATTTCTGTGAAGAATGATAAGATATTTTGATAGGAAATGTGCTGAATTTGTAAATGACTTTCAGTAGCATAACCATTTTTACAATACTAAATTTTGCCAACCCATGAGTGTGTAAGGGCCTTCCATCTTCTAATGTCTTCTTCAATTTTCTTCTTCAATGTGATATAATTTTCATTGTAGAAGTCTTTTGCATACTTAAATTTACTTGTAGTTTTTTTCTTTTTGAGGCTTTTGTGAATGGGATAACTTTACTGATTTCTTTCTCAACCTGTTTATGTGGGTATATAGAAAAGCTACTGATTTTTGTATGCTGATTTTGTATCTTGATACTTTGCCAAAAGTGTTTATCAGATCTAAGTATGTATGTGTGACTATTTATAGTCTTTTAAGTATAGGATCATATTATCTACAAGTAGGGATACGTTTGATTTTTTCCTTTCCTGTTTTTATCCTTTTTATTTCTTTCTCTTAGCTTATTATTCTGGCTAGGAATTCTAGCATTATAGTGAATATGAGTGGAGAGAGTGGGCACTCTTGTTTAATTCCTGATTTTAGAGGAAATGGTTTCAGTTTTTCCACATTTAGCACAATGTTGGCATTGTGCTAAATGTGGAAAATATAGGCTACATGTAGCCTTTATTATATTAAGGTATGTTCCTCCTATTTCTAGTTTCTTCAGGGCTTTTATCATGAAAGAAGGGTGTTAGATTTTTTCAAGGACTTTTTCTGCATCTATCAATTTGATCATGTGATTTTTTTGACCTTAATTCTGTTTGTCTGCTGTATTACTTCTATTGATTTGTGTATGTTGAACCATCTTGGCACCCCTGGAATGAACTTGATAATGGCATATGATATTTTTAATGTAAACACAACTGATTTTTTGCTTGTTATCTTTAAACTGCAATGTGGCTAAATTCATTTAGTAGATTTTTTTCTTGTGGATTCTTGTAGATGTTTCTTGTGGATTCTATGAAATATATATATATATATATATATAGTTCATGTTATCTGGCAGTAGAGATAGATTTACTTTTTCCTTTCTCATTTGGATACTTTTATTTTTTATTTCTTGCTTAATTGCTTTGGCTGAAACTTTCAGAACAAGGTTGAATATTGGTGACAAAAGCTAACCTCTTCATCTTATTCCTGCTTTTAAGGGGAAGATTTTGAATTTTTGATTTCACCCTTGGACTCAGGTTAAGAAATAAAACTTTTAACTCTTACCTATGTCCCATTCAAGAC